GACGGCGTGGCATCAGATGCAGCAACAGATAAGATAACGTCCGTTTCGCGGACTTTGGACATTCCAATTCGCACAGAACAAGATAACGGTAATATTATTATAACTAATCACGATGGCCGAGACATGATAATCTGCGAGGTTGATTTCTGACGGTAATGTTTAAGCACATAATATAATAATATTATATACATTGCGGTAGATACATACCGCATCGGCCTACCTATCGATGACCTACGTCGACGGGGGGGGGGGATTCGATTTTTGTAATATTTTGTGAAATTAACGCCTCGGCACGTGTCTGCCGCGATAATTCCATTATACTATATAATACTAACACATAATTTACCAGACGAACAGAGTTGTTTCCCGTTGGCCTATCGCGCGTTGATTCATAATGTTTTCACGCACTTCACGATAAAGCTTTCAAGCGTGTAGCACCGGCTCATTTCGTTTCGCGTTCGCTTTGAATCACGTACATAAACCCTTTTGTACACTGCAGTTTTACCGGATGAAAGTCTTATCCGTTTTAAAAAGAAGGGAAACACGAATTTACAGAATGTTTAAAAAAAAAAAAAATGGATTTTTTGAAGGGGAAGCGCAAATGGCAATCCATCAATGTCGCCCCGCTGTAGCACACGACAATCGTTGTACTGCACGGTAGGCACGTTTTTTTTTATTTTTATATTTTTTTAGCATCTTTAGGAGCTATTTCACGCTTTGCATATACCAGACCACCCTGAAGAGGGTTAGAGAGAGAGAGAGAGAGAGAGAGAGAGAGGAATGATAGAAAAATACATAATATCAGTCATGAAACGTGTGCGGTTTAATAATAATCCGTTTTTGAGTAACCACGCTCGCGGTGACCTATTCTTAAATAAAATATTCCACGTAGTCCGGAGGATATTAGGGTGAAAGAAATAATAATATTGTGACAATTGATTGTAATAGAATAACATCTTTGTTATTCGTGTATTATATTATATAGGTACCTATAGAATTAGTTTTTCATGTGGCATATACCTACTTGGCTACTTATAAAATTGGAATAAAATTTAAATTATTAATTTTCAATTTTACGAAAGGCATAAATTATTACGGACTCGTACAATGATATTTCGAGTGTATAACAAACACTTTGATTAAAGTGTGATTAATTTAACTTACATCGACTTATTATAACGTTTAAAAAAAGAATTAAAAACATTATTATAATTTATATGTTCACGTACGAACCATTTATAATAATTTATTATTAACGTATTTTTTTTATTTTTTTTTATTAAAATACTGAAACTGATCAAAACATAAGTACTTTATAAATCATAAAATGTAATATTGAAATGAAATACCATTATGCATACAATGATTCATTATTTTATTAGACGATACGAATAAAGTATATACATAATATAAAATATATTCATCTACGACCTATCTATTATAATATATTAGTTTTTAAAACAATCAAAAAAATTTGTACACTTGTGATGTGTTTGCTAAAAATTAAACAACTTGATATTAGAAATTATTAATTCCACTCCGAGTGTGCTACGATTTTGAAGATTAATATAATAATTAGGTAGTTTAGTTATAATAGTAGTAAGTACCCACATCCTACGTATTTAAAATTCTGAAAAATTTGAAAAATATATACAATTACATCCAAATCTAGCACAATTACAGTACCTATGCAGGTAGACAATATTATAAACGCACAGTATTTATAATATACACAGTACAACGGTAACCACCGATTAAAATGTTTTATAGGTTCAACAAACACGTTTGAAAAAATTTAATTTTTTTTTTTTAATCAAACCTCACGTAACACCACTTGCAGCGTATCACAGCGTACCTATATATATGCGTGTATTAGTCTAGTCTCAAAGGTTAAGCGGCAATCGCCATAGGTTAAGTAAAATATTCATACACAGATAGTCATCTATATTACAATATTATTATATCGGTTTTTGGCATTTAAAAGAAAGAAAAACCTTTGAATTGTCGTTAACTCGTTTCGATATCGATGGTGTGCACGACACTGCCGTGACTTGAATAGTAATGTACATTATAGGATACCGGAGCCCATCGATTATTGCGAAAAACGTTTGTTGTAAGCGGTCGAGCTACACAACCTCCGCTACTGCTGCAACTGCAGCGGTTATAAAGTGGATTGCAACGTGCAGTGGGCGAGAGTAAAAAAAAAAAAAATTATTGATCTCAGACGGTGATAACATAATAATAATAATAATAATAATATGTAAAGGAATAAACACTATACGGCTTTAAAAAAAAAAAAAAATTCGAAAAAATTATATTTAAACCGTGCTGCAGTGTTGAACGCGCGTGCGACAATGGCGAATGAGATGCGCTCGATATAATACTTATCGAGTAGGTGTCGATCGTATTTGCATGTGAGAACACAGATGAAAACCGACGTACCAGCCTGATTATCGTACCGGTACACGTAATATTGTAGCGGTATAGCCGGTACAACGTCGCGATGATGTCTGATACGTCTACGCTGTAACATTATTATTATTATTGCAAATATCATAAAATGCGACAAGACAATATTAATATGTTTGCAGTCAACTCGTAAATAACAGTCTTTATTATGTCATGGAAATCACAAGACAAGACGCTCTCTTATGTAATACGATAATTGGAAAATATTCCTTAGCACTGCACGCGCATGATTCATATTATAATATAGACATAATATATATCATTGACATAGATATGTTTTTGAGCTGAACTTTTATGTATCCGACCGAACTTACGTAAGGTTTTCGAAGTTATAGTTACTTGTACTAACAATGTTATATTTATGATTCGTCCTTGTAGAGGAAAAATATCGAGTAGCATGCTTTGGTATTTCTCTAACCGATTTTCGCAACGCTTTGTTTATTGCCATAGAAACGCTAATCAACAAACGAATAGATTAAACTAAATTCCTAACAAAATGTAGCATGAATTATTTGTCCACTGCTCTATACCCCAACTCATATCTATGATTCATAATTTCTCCTTGCTGAGGAAACATATCTAGTAGCGTGCCAGCTGAGCTAGGTAATTATAATATTTATAATAATAAACATTAATGCATATTATTACGGTTATACATTATAGGTCACATTATACCATTGGTACCTACTTATAAGTTTAAGTTCCATACAAATTGAACTCATTATTTATTTACTTTAAATGGACCCTCCCACTGATTTAGCGATATAAAACTAGTATGGTCGCTATACCTCCTCCCCCCCCCCTTCAAAATACCTTAACCGCGAAACCACCAATGTATTAATATTGAAGTAATATTTTTAGGAACAATGAGCGTAAAAATAAATAAATATTGATTTTTCTAACACACTTGTTAACGCAAGTACCTATGCAATAATAAAAACGGTACCTATAATAAAAAAAAAAATAGTTGTAGTATAGGTAGTTTTCTAAAATGTCACCGAAACACATTAAAATTGAACACTGACAACCGAGAGTGGACAGGTGCCGTAAACCCAAATAATAAACGACTGCGCCGAGTACAGCCGTATCGGAATTAAGCGATCAGAGTTTTCGTTTTTTACGACTCATCTCTATATAGCGTGGGCTCCACTCGTTATGGGTTGTATGCAAAAATTGTTTCGCCGACCAGTTAAACGGCGGCGTACGATTTCATCGTCTCGAAACAAATTATTCCTCTTTATAATAATAATAGACCTTCGACGCGTCAGAACGATAAAGTAAAATTTGACAGCGATTTGCAATATTAATAAATCAATAAGGCTATTGTCGTTTGCGCGGAACGGCAGTCCAAGTAAACAGATAAATATAGCTACAGCTGGCAACCCGTAATGTACAAAATTACACCGTCGTATAATTTATAAGATTTTATTGCATCACTGCTTTTGTTACATCGCTCTACGTATGTAAGATAAATAATAGAATGATATTTTATTGGCATTATCATCTCCGCCGAAGCCTCGACTCGTCCGAAAGCCGTTAGAGAGGTAAGTCCAGCACAACCACTAAAGATCCGATGTTATATTCGCGTGGTGCTTTCGTAATTTCTTTGGACGTTGCAGTAAAAACGAAAAGTCTACGTCCGAAAAAAAAATACCCATTCGATAATTGGATTTAACACGCACACACACACACATTTCTATAATGCTGCTCAGCGGTTTCGAAGCTGTTCGCTGGCCTCGATGAGATAATATTCCACCAAATATATTATTTTTTTTTCCGGTATTGTTATACAGGTGCGACAAAAAGGTTGACCCGACCAGAAAATATAAAAAAATTAAACTCGCGTCATATTTCGCCCACTACGGTTATTAGAAAACGCGCGGTAGGCGTAGGCCGCAGCCGGTAATACATGATAATAATATAATAATATTATTATTTATTATTGTCATTCGATGTGTTTCGTTTGTGCGTACAAATCCAGTATTATACATCATAGGTAGGTCACTTATAATTCCACTGCGGAGCGTGTAGTTTGTTTCAGTTATTATTCTAATTCCGTTTCAAATATAGTAATATATATATATACCAGATACCTATATATACTTACCCACACATACAATATATACACATATTATGTTTACGGTGAATGCACACCGGTGTACCGAGTACCTACCGGAAAATCCGTGATATTAGCCTGTGGAGAATTTGTTGGAGCGTAACGACGCATCGGGGTACGAGAAAATTTCCAAGATAATATTTTAGACCAAAGTCGAGTCTTTTGAAAAATAATAGTTTTTTTTTTCCCCCGAGGTGTAGGTATATATCTCTCTCGGTAGTTCATATAAATTACATTTTAAAAAAAAAATGTGCTGCAGATGGTATAAGGTGGGTAAATGCAATTCGGGATTTATGATATGGATATATAGAGGTATATCACAGTTACAGTTCAGCGGTCGTGCGATAAACACGTATGGTGAACTATCGGTGTCTTATCTGTTTACTTCCGTCACCGTTTGTTTTTCAGTCTCACTATGTCTGCAGCGTCAACTAAATCTAAAGAAAGCTCTCCAAACCTGCTTCACAACCTTAGGAGTAAATCAAATCAAAAACCAACCAATGATACTACTGATATTATGCAATCTTTACAGTCGTTAAAATCATCTATAAAATCAATGAATACCAAACTTGAAGCTATCCAAACTTCAGTCTCGGAACAAAAAATTGAGTTTATTGAAATTAGGAAATATTTCGATGAAATATCTGGTACTGTTTCTACTTTGAAAACTAATTATGATATTATGAAAACGGAGGTATCGAATTTACGCCAACAAATCGATTTATTGACTAATAACAATACTGCCTTATCTTTCGAGGCGGTCCACGAAGCACAAGTCCGATTAAGAAAATCACGTAATGTTATAATTTTCAACGTTCCTGATAACAATGAGTCCTTTGATGAAACTAATAAGTCTACCTCTAATATAATAAACTACATGGTTCCAAATGTACCTATCATCAAAACTACCCGGTTGGGTATTAACCGAAATAAGCCACGACCTATTTTAGTAGAGTTAGAAAACAATGATGCAGTATTGTCAATTTTGAAAGCAAAGTCAAAATTGCGACAATCTGACAACTGGAATCGCGTATGGATCACCACAGACCTAACGATGATGCAGAGAAACCAACTCACTCAAGTCAAGTTGCAACTACGAAATAAAATTGATGCTGGAGACCTGAGCTGGTACATCAAATTCGTTCACGGGATTCCAATCCTGTCTCAAAAAAACGCTCAACCCGCCCAAGCATAAATACACCTTACACGGGTAACCAAGATAATCTTATAAGTACTTCTTTTAGTTTTAATAACAAACCATACAAATGTAAATCTCTTAGAGGCTATTATCAAAATGTTAGAGGTCTTCGTTCTAAATTATGTTTACTTAGACGCAATATTCATACTATGTATTTCGATTATTTTATTTTGACCGAAACCTGGCTAAATAATAGTATTAATGACTGTGAACTGGGCTTTGATAACTACTCTCTTTATAGATCTGATAGGAACTATGCAATCAGTAACTGTAATAAAGGCGGCGGTGTTGCGATATGCATTAGTAATAAATTTTCGTCTAAAATTATAGATATACCTAATACCACTATTGATCAATTGTTCGTTGCCATTACTATCGGTAAGGTTTTAATGTTTATAATTGGAACCTGTTATATCCCACCAAATAGTCATACCAGCTTGTACTCAATGCATGCCCAAACAGTCGATTGGGTCTTATCTAAGTTTGGAAATAATATACAATACATTGTTGCCGGTGACTACAATTTACCGAAAACTGTAATTACCAGTGATAATACCGGACTCATTACTAACAGCATACTTACACCCCAGGCCAATGAAATTTTTGATATCTATGCTTATAATAACTTTTTTCAAGTTAACACGCATTCAAATTTTAAGGGCTCAATGCTCGATCTCGTATTTACTTCCTCAAATTTAACAAAAATTAATATTTGTGATGAATTATTAGTTCCGTTAGATAAATACCACCCAGCACTTTCCATACATAGTAACTATGGTGATATTCGCGATTTTAACCAAGTTGTTGATTCGAACCGGTATTATGATTTCAAGATAGCAGATTATACTTCAATATGCTGGTCATTAGGACTTATTAATTGGCATAACCTATTCGAAAATAAAAATATTAATGAAATAGTAAACATATTCTATGATACAATTTATAATTTAATTTCCAAATATGTACCAAAAAAGTACCCAAAAAAGTATAATTTCCCACAATGGTTTAATAAAGATCTTAAAATGTATATTCATAAGAAAAAAGAACTCCATAATATATATAAATCAACTAATAATCAATCAGATTATAATAATTTTTCACAATGCCGAAAAATATGTAAGAATTTATCTAAATCTTGTTATTCAAATTATTTAACCAAAACTCAAAATTCGTTAATTAATAATCCTAGATACTTCTGGAAATATGTCAAAAACAAACAAGTGTCAAAACCAATACTAAACTCAATTACTTATAATAACCTCCACTCAGACGATATAAATGATATTCCTAATATCTTTAGCTCATATTTTGCTTCTGTATATTCAAAACATACACAATCAACACTTATTAATCTTGGTGATAATAGTAATAGTAATAATTGTAATATAAATGTATCTAATGTTGATTTCTCGTTAAGTGAAATATTTCAAGCTCTTACTCAAGTTGGTAATAACCCTTCTCCCGGTCCTGACTTAATTCCTGCTCTCTTTTTACAACGTTGTAGATATGCCTTATCAGTTCCTATATTTATTATCTTCCAATTGTCTATATCATCAGGTATCTTCCCCGACAAGTGGAAACTAAGCTATGTAACACCAATTTTCAAATCTGGTGATAAAGGATCCGTCACAAATTATCGGCCAATCTCAATAATAAGTGTAATTCCAAAACTATTCGAAAAAATTATAAATAATAAACTAACAACCACTTTTAAGTCAACTCTATTATCTAATCAATACGGCTTCCGGTCACAACGATCAACTAGTACTAATTTATTAGTTTTTTATTCTGATTTAATATCCACAGTAGAGAGTGGCGGCCAAGTAGATGTTATCTATACAGATCTTCAAAAAGCTTTTGATACTGTAGATATTAAAATATTATTATATAAACTTAAACTAATGGGTGTACATGGTACATTATTAAATTGGTTTGAGTCCTACTTATCTAATAGACGACAACGGGTAAAAGTTAATAATATTCTATCCGATTCTATTGAAGTTACTTCCGGTGTGCCACAGGGAGGACATTTATCTCCACTACTATTTTTATTATTTGTTAATGATTTAGATAAAACTTTTAAATATTCCAAATTTCTGCTGTTTGCTGATGATTTAAAATTGTTTAACCCAATTAACACACCTAATAATTGTTTAGAGTTACAGGATGATATAGATCGCTTTTCCGAATGGTGTAGTATGAACAAGTTAAACATAAATGTTAATAAATGTCAACAAATAACATTCTCACGTTGTACTAACCCAATACAATTTAGTTATCAGATACATAACGTATCCTTGAATGTAGTTTCTTCTGTAAAAGATTTAGGTGTTTGGTTATCTAGTGACTTATCATTTAAATTACACTTAGACAAAATTTATAAAAAAGCATTAAAAGTATTAGGTTTTATTAGACGTAATACTTGGGAATTCAAGAATCCCACCTGTATTAAAGTACTGTATTGTTCATTAGTACGTTCCATTCTGGAATACTGTTCTGTTGTATGGAACCCCTTTACTGGTAATTGGGTAAATAAACTTGAAAGTATCCAAAATCGCTTTTTAAAATTTTTAGCTCCTAAATTAAGATTACCGATTAATAATATTTCCAACGTTGCTAAACAATGTGGCCTGGATCCATTATCTAAACGCAGATTATTTAATGATGTTAATTATATATATAAACTTATTAATAACCAAACCGATTGTCCCGATCTATTAACTAAGATTAAATTTAAGGTACCTACATTCAACTCTCGAAATCACTCTTTATTTCATATCGACTGCCACCGCCAGAATTACAGTTACTATAGCCCTTTAAATCGTATGTGTATGTTCTGTAATAAATTTACAAATTTTGATTTTTTTAATGATCCACCAGGTTTACTATATTCTTTATCAACTATGTGATGTAATTTTTTGTACATGTTATTTACTGTAACTTTTGCTCATCTTGGGCGTAATTAATAATAAATAAATAAATTAATAATAAATAAATATGGTATAAGGTTAGGTTAGGTAGGTTATACTCAAATAACTTTCATACATTTTTATATACGATACCGAAAAAATATACCAAAAAATTTAAAACACACTTCTTTATATCCAATTGGTAGGTTATATTTACCAGATATCCAATACACCTGCAGCTGCAGCTCTATTCTGCCGATAAATGCTGATGGTCGTAATTGAAAGGCGTCCTATATATGACTATAGGTATGATACATATTTAAGAATTCCCTGGCAGAATGCCAGAAAGCAATGTTTAGAGATGAAAACCGTATAAACTCTGACACGTGAAGATAATAATAATAATATTGTCAATCCAAATATTAAACATATTTTATGCGTTCCAAGATACAGACGCTCCATCATAATATTTACCGGCTGCGGACACGAAAAAAATATTTTTTTTCCATTGTTTATCGATAGACGATAATTATTATTGTTTTTTAATAGAATAATATACTATAACAAAGCGCGTTATCGTGCATAACATATTATGGTTCTTTCGCACATGTTGGTCTTACCTCCAGGCGACTTCTAGAAGAAAATATCTATACAATATACATATTATATAATATAAGAGAGTGGCCAACTAGGTTTTTCGGTGAAAATTTTCTATTGGATGGCTGTTATCATTGATAATTAACGGCATGAATCGTCCAAGTTATTGTATTATTTACCAATGTTCATACATTAATAATTAATTGTCAATTGTTTTTACACGACAATTAAATTTGAATAATATGCACCTAATTATGAAAATTAACTTATTATTTACATCGTTTTGTTGCATAACTATATAATATCAGTGTTCATATTTTGTGTCACAATTATGTACTATATATTTTGATATACCTATCTTGTTAGTACCTAACCCATTGTGCAGGCATATTATCATATTATTATATACATATCTTAGTTGGTATGCAGTAAGCATATTATATATTTCTTTTATATTTAAAAAATTGACTGGTGTATTATTATATTATAGGTTAGGTTTGGTAATTTCTTTTGAGCGATTAATGGCTGTTATCACACCGGTTGGCCACTCTCATAATATAAATTATTAAGGCTTTCTACCTATATAATATTATGTGTAAAAGGATGCATTAATTTGTTTACGCTGCAGTCGTCACGCGTCCTACAGATAGAGCGTCTACTATACATAGTGTCATTGTATACCGCGGACCTGGTTCAAACCAGACGGTGGCAATAATAATAAGACATACCGCAAAAGTCTTTGTGCTATATATACAAACGTTGGAAGCAGCGTGTCTAGAGCGATGCAATTGTCCCGCGCTCTAACCCTGAAATGTATATATATATATATATATAGGGCGGCTAAACCACTTATGAGGGTGTAAAAATTAAGTATATTATAGAACGTTAAGTGTACGAACACGAAAGCTTTCGCAACACAACGCTATTATATACTGTACACATCGAAATAGGTACCGAGTAAAAAATCGTTATCAATAAAAGTTTATGTCTATAGAGTTGTGTACCGACTACGGCTGTGAACACACCGAGCAAATTTTCTTTTATTAGTCTCGATCGCACGAAAAGAAACGAAAATGTAATAGCTATTAATAAACCATCAAAGCAGTATAACATTCTTGACGACAACGCATCGTGCTCGTTAGTGAAAATGAGTTTTAGTCTCCGCGGAGTGTTCGGAATGTTTAAAATGTGATTTGTACACGCGGAACACTATAATGGAAAAGTGTGAAATGTACATACGACGACGATTTTCAAACCGATATTCAACAATAATCATTCGTCGTGATTAAATGACCAAAATTGAATACACATACTCGTTTACGTACAAGTATAACGTATAATGATATTATTGTGTATGAGGACTGTACGATGAGAGACAGAAGACGTCGAATTACGTTGGAACTATATAGGCATAGAATATAATATGTGGTCGGCATAACTCGTAGGAAGTGAAGAATTAGCTTTTTAGCCCCTCCGCCACGTTTTATTACA